ATCAGTGGTGGGGATACCACTTAATGAAAACTACAGCATTTTTTTCCCAAGCTTGCAAGGCTGTTTTACGCTTTCTCTGATGCTCCTTGTGCAGCCTGATTATTGCAAATGCTACTTACTCCCCAGTGTGTCTCTGCAGCTTTGGTAATTAATGCACAGTACAATTTGCAGGAGGCAGGAGGAAAAGCAGTAAAGTACATTGATTAATATTGTCACTTAGTTTAACAGCAAGACAAGTTACCATGTACCAAAGCCTAAATTATTCGAGTGGGTGCTATATAAAGAATAAAGGGGTTTAAAAAATAAAATGCCCATTGATCTGACCATGTTCAAAATGTCTTCCATGAATCATTCTACTGACAGATTTAGCATGCTGACAAAAAAAGTATGCATTATAGCTTTATTAAACAAGTACAAACCTCTAACCTTAATGCCCTTGGGCAGAGTGTTTCCAATTCTGAATGGAGGAGGCTGCTATCATCTTCTCTTTTACAAAGCCAGTAGGGGAAAAAAAACCAGATCCTCTGTGTTCCATCTAACATTTCTGGGAATGCCCCTTACAGGCTTGCTGTGATGCTGCTTGGTCTTTCCTATGTGCTTGAGGGAATTGAATCCGGATGAAAAGGTGTACTGCAAATGTGAGTTGCTTAAAGAAGTAGTGTTAGCACTAATAAATGCCAACACAGGTTTAATCCCATTCTAAATTCTTTCTTTTCCATCTGCTGTAATTTACAGCCGAGGGCACAAAAATCCGTATCTTGACATGGCCTAAGGATTTAGATCAGCAGCTAATGCAGATGTTTTCCTCATCATGAAAACATGTTTACTTCATTCTGGTAAAAAAAATAAAAAATACATAGGTATCTGTCTGCTGACTTAATCTGTCATCTAAAGAGCTTTGCTGCTTTTGGGAGCTCATGTTCATGATGTTATACAAAGGCTGCTGTGGCTCATTGGAACACTGTAACTCTCTACTGCTCTTCCACATAGGCACCACTGATACTGTTGGGATGACCTAGGATCGATACTATGGGAACGACCGTATCTGTGAACATATGGCTGTGGAGTGATGATCAATGTCATGGGAACTCAGATGTTATATTTATCTTGTCAGTAAGAGGGAAGGGCATGGAGGAGGATTGGGAGAAGCAGACAACTGGAAGAAACCTTGTGTTCCCAGGTCCTCCTTGGGGCATAAAACAATCCCAATAATCTGCTGCAGGGGACAAGAGCAGGACACAAGTGATCTAGGAGATTGCTGGAGGCCACTGATGACAATTACACAAATGATTGAGATGCCATCAAGGAAAGGTGCTCTTCTGGACCTGATGCTTGCAAACAAGGAAGGACTGGTTGTTATCAAGCTGGGGGCAGCCTTGGCTGCACTTAGCATGTGATAGTAATGTTCAGGATCCTGAGAGGAGGAAGCTGGACAAAAATCAGGACCTCAGCTGTGGACTTCAGAACAGACTTTGGCCTCCTTAGAGATCTGCTTGGAAGAATCCCACAGGATACAGTACTGGAGAGAAGAGAGATCCAAGAGAGATGATTGATATTAAAAAATAGTCTATTCTGATAAGAAGGAAAGAAAACAGGATGTTATTTTCCTTGTCTTCGGTAAGGCTTTTGACTCTGTATCCCATAATATCCTAATGCAGAAGCAAAGTATGGGTTAAATAACTAAACTGTGAGGTTGGTTGAAAACTAACTGAATGTCATCAGGCCCAGATGGTGTTTATCAGTTGCACAAAATCCAGTAGGATGCAAATGGTATAATTCTAGAGTTAAAAATGGATTCGGTGTCATTCAGTATCTTCATTCATGATCTCGATGATGGAGCAGAGTATAACCTCAGCAAGTTTGCTGATGATACAGAGCTGTGGGGAGCAGTTGTTATACCGGAGGATTATGCTGCCATTCAGAGGGACTTCAGCAGTCTGAAGAATTGGGCAGAGGGGAACCTCATGAAGTTTAGCAAGAGGAAATGTAAAGCCCTGCATCTGGCCAGAAATAATTCTGTGTAAGTGTACAAGCTGGACACCAACTTGTTAGCTCTGCAGGAAGGGATTGGGATCCTGGTGGGCAGCAAGTTGAGTATAAACCAAAATGTGGCCTCATTGCAAGGATGATCCATAGCATCCTGGGCTGCATTAGGAAAACAGTTGCCAGCACATCAAGAGAGATGATCCATCCTCTATGCTCAGCACTGTTGAGATCACATCTAAAGCGCCAAGTCCAGTTCTGAGCTCCAGTAGAAAAAAAGAGATGGTCTTACTGGAGCAAGTCCAGCCAAGTCACAAAGGGACTGGAGCATCTTATGCATGAGGAGAGGCTGAGACTGAGCCTTGAGAAGGGAAGGCTCAGAGGAGTGCATCTTATCAGTACAAGTAATACCTGATGGAAGGGAATGAAGAAGACAGACTCCTTTTGGTAGTACCCATTAGCAGGAGAGGAGTCAATAAACACAAATTAAAATGCATGAAATTCAATCTGGATACAAGGAAACAGTTTTGTACTATGAAAGTGATCAAACACTGGCCTAGTCTTCCTCTGTTTCAAAAGCCATCTGGGCATAGTCCTGGGCAACCTTCTCTAAGTAACCCTGATTGAGACGCAAGGCTGGACTAGATGATCTCTAGTGGTTCCTTCCAACTGCAATGACTGTGAGAACTCTTTTTTTAAAGTCCTGGCATTAAAAACATCAAATTCACAAAACAGGAACTGTGGAAAGAAGAAAAACTTACTCATTTGGTTACTTGCATGCCAAAAGGATAGAATTCCTTTTTTGATTTGTCCCAGTGTAATCGTGGTAGCTAGTGTCATCTAATTTTTTTAGCATTCTGGAGTGAGAAGGTATTTCCTTCAGCTTTCATGTAGTGCGGCCAACGGAGGGTAGGGTAATGCTAAACAAGGAACAAAGGTTCGTGTCACCGGTTACTGCAACAGATGTGTTGTGCTTGAATTCTTCCACAGAATGCAACAGACTTTACCTGAGGCACTTCAAGTGGCTCACAGAAGATGTTGATGCCCTAGAGAAAAAGGGAAGGAAAAGTTATTATGTCAAGTGAAGCATTGCACTTTCCCTTCGGTGTGTGCGAGCATAATCTGCAACTAAATATATACAGATCACTGCAGCTGAAATGGGAGAAGTGGTCAAGATGAGGTGTGATAGGCAGTTCTTATAACTCAAATGGGAAATGCATCTCAACCAAGTGTATGCCTCCATATAAAAAGCTTTGCAACTAACGAAATTCAGACTAAGTTTGTTTTCAGGTAGTACTAACTGGAGAGGATTCTGAACTTTGTCATGACATGTTACCACCCCCAAGCTGGGGCAGGTTCTATGTATACTATAGTATAAATAGTGAGTTTTTGAATGCCTGTTACATTTACTGTAAGGAGGAGCAAGAGACTGAATCCAGTTTTAAAATGTAGCAGTACTTAAAGGGAAATTTCTTCTCAAAAACCTGCAAGATTTTAAATCAGTGAAAAGCAGACATTTGTTCAAAGAGTCCAGGTTGCTGTGGGCTGTTCAGTTTCTGCATTAACTGTGAAATGATCTGAGGAACACGTTTCAATCAGTAGTGAAAGTAGTATTAGGTTATACTTGTTAAGGACTGTTTTATTAAGTTATTGTTCCCACGTGTTTAATACTGCTCAGACATAAAATTTCTGTTACACTGTTCCTCTTTCAGAAAAATCAGTGGTTATGTGTGGTTATCAGTTAAACGTATGGTGAGATTGGATTCAGGTGGATTTATGTGAAGTAGATCAGAAGAGTATAGATGAGCAGCAGGTATAACAACTTTTTCCTCAAGGTAGTAGCTTTGTATGGGAACTTCTTCAGCTGACTCCAGCCAATCCACAAGTCATCTCTCTGTACCCTCAGGATGTTTCCTTTGCCATTGGCTGTGTCTTTTCTTTTTCAATTGTAACAGATTTTAGAGACAGTCTTCAATATTTTTTACTTGGAATCTGTGCTTTTGTGTCTTAAATGCAGCATGATACCTTGATACTGACTGATTGATGTGTATTTTCAGGCTATTTGTAGATGATTGCAACTGTGGAGTCAGTTTCTTATTATTTCTGAGGAGGAAGTAATAAGTTGGATCAGAGGATGTATACCACATAATTTAAGCAAAATGTTTGGAAATACTAACTTTATTAAATGAGCAAAAGCTCCAGTGTTTGCTGTCTATTAATGAAAGAATGAAGAATATATGCACTTTTTCCCATTTGCAGCTTTTTTAGGCTTATTTCTCCTCATTTTTTAATATAGTTCTGTAATTAATACTTACTTGTTCTTATTTTGTGAAAGAGTATTCATGGTATGTAGACATTTCTTTCATTTAAATACCTTGATATCAGAAATATGTCTTAAAAATATCTAGTAGCCAAGCTCAAGAGAACTATCACACTCAACACTTTAATCAGATAAATTTCCCTTTGGCACAATTTATGCTTTACATTCTTCAAGTTCTTTAATTGTATGAGCCTGTACCTTACACTCTGCAGGAGTGAATAATGAAACCTTAAATTTGTTGTTCCTAATTACAGCTTCATGATACTCCTTTTGTTGCCAAAATGGATTTGAAAAAGACCTCAATATAACTAAGAGTCTAGTTAACAACCTGTAAATTTGCCTGTCTACACCAGAAATTCATCATGTTTTATTAGGGTAGAGATTATTTTTGCAAAGGTTAGGTAGATAATTTCCTAGGGTCAGCATTATTTTAAGCAGTCATTTAAGAGGAAGAGGAAATGGTGATGAATTTTTCATGTTTCCATGAGAAAAATCTAGTAAATAGATCATAACTCCTACATCCAGCTCTACAGTTCTAGGTAACACAGCTCTTGTTGCTTAATGAGGATGAGGAAACTGTGAATCTGAAATTAGAGTACTTTCTTCTTTTTGCTATTTTCAGATGAGAAATCTCATCTTCTATGTCCAAAAAAAAAAAAAAAATAAAAATAAATTACTTGCTTCTACTTCCAATTAGAAACACACATCCTGGGACAGAAAGAAGATGACTTTTGCACTGAGTTTCAGTTTCATCTGAATACTCAAAAAAAATCAGAATTTTTCATCCAGACAGAAGCTGAAGCCCTGAAAATTTCAGATCTGCCAGTAACCAGTGAAAGAAGAGGCACCCCATATGACTGTAATCCCAGTCCTCAAGAATCAAGGTAAAAACACATCATTAAATAGAGTTTTTCTAGATTCAAATTATAAATAATATACATACAGATTTTTTGATAAAAATAGGGAAGCTTATTTCTCAACTAAGAACCAGTAAGTCAGCTTTTACTTGCGCTTACCTTATTTACCCTTCTTTCCTTGTGGAATGCAGCATTTCACCACTGTATTCTTTATCAGTGTTTGAAAATATGATCATGGCAATGGCTTATGTGACACACTGTATTTCAGTGATTGTGGTCTCTCCAGAGAATTTTGAAAATGGATATTGAAAAAAAAAATAGAAAAATTATCTAAAAATCTAGTAGTATATGTGGTTTTACACAATAAGCACAGTGTACCCTAAGTATAATGAGGGACTAGGAAGTAGGAATGAGACAGGGTAGGAAGCAGGAATAAAGCAAGGTGAAATGCAGTGAAGATGAGGAGCTGTAATAGCTTGTAGACAGCCTATTACAGGAATCTGGAGAAGGGCAAATATGGTTGAAAGGTATAGTATAAACTCTGGATATTTGCTTCTATCATTAATTTGGTCATTTATTGTCATTAATTTCAATACTGAGGACAGCCCTCTACTACAGTCTTAAAAAATATATACACTCTTATGTGGCATAATATATGAAGTTATTGACTAGAGAACACGCCACTAGTTTTGAGTGACTTAAGCATTCTGAAGTCTTAACTGAGAGTGACAGAGTTACTTCTGAAAATGAGATCAAGGTTGCAAAGCCTGGTAATGTACTTTTGAAATATACACTCTAATTCTTTACTTGTCAGGTTTTGTTGTCTTTAGTATGATCTAGTGGTGATCCATTGGTCCAAGATCAGTCCATAGTACTTTTCCGTCCGTCTTGTTGCCCTTTTTTTGCATTAGGGCCTGAGATTTGCTGCTAGGGCAATGCATCCTGCACTAAAAGCCACATATAATCCTGAGTGCTTAAGTACAGCCCAGCACAGTCAGACAAAGGTTGTTGCTTCTACCCTTCTCCAGTGTCACTCACACTACCAATCAAGCTGGTCTTGAACACTGAGATTAACCTCCTACAGGCATCATGTTGAACCATCCCATCTGTAAATATGTAGCATGTAGGATCCTAAAGCTATTGGCCAAAACTTCATTGTGGTAGATGCTATATATAAGCTGCACAAAATCTGTCCTCCAAATAGATGTCGATTAGTACACAAGGTAAGAAAATATCTTGGTGTAGAATGACCCAGGAAATGTTGAGTCAGTGCTGATTTGCATTGTAGATTATGGTCTTAGTGTACCATCAATGTGACTTGTCAAGTTTTCTTTTAGAAGAAAACATTTGAGGAATTGGAGTATGACTGTGAGGTATACTCAAACTTGTTCGTGGGAAGTACAACCTGAACATGGAAAATGCACAGAAAATGTTTCGGGTTTGTAATGTCTGGGTAATAGTATCTCTACATATATATCACTTGCAGTCTGAAACAATACTAAATGAAATTTGCTAGGCAGAGCAAAAATTAAATAGGCTTTGAAGGGTCTTGAAAATGAAGACAAAGAGTAAGCACTCTTCTAACCCATATGTAGTGTAATACTCTAAAGTAATGTTTTGATGCAGATCTCCATGCTATCTGTATTTGTTGTTCTTTAGGTTGCACCATAGTTTGCCTGCAGAGCACAGATTTTTAACTTCCTTGGTAAAGAGCTGTAGAGAAAATAAATCCAACGGAAGCAGTGAAGAAAGGGGTGGCTGAGTACAAACAACTGCCTACCTGAGCGAATGGCTCTTTGGAGCACCAGATAGCATTAGTTTTCTTTCTAGGATGTGAATTACGCATAATGAAAATAATGTATAAATAGTTCAGAAGATACAGCTTTTCTGTGGCAGCTTATGACTTATGACTCACTGGCTAGGAAGCGTGTCAACAGAAAATGCTTAAGGGAAACAAATGTTAAAAACATTTGCTAATCCCCCCTTCTAATCCATTCACCTACTGATTTTGTTGCCATTTTACAAGTGATATCTGATTTAACTGTATCAATGCATAGCCAAGAAGTTTTATAGAAGTCTTACCTTGAAATAGAATTTTTTAGCCATCACCATAATTTTACAGATTTCTTCAAGATAAACTCCTATATCTTGTATTCTGGATATTATCATTTCACTAAATGTGGAATTGGCCATCCTATTGAAGAATTTGTTTTGTTTTAACCAGAGCACCGACTTGATGCCTAAACATTTTACTACTTTGTTGCTCTGTATTAAGCACAGGTTTTTAATATTTGCTTCCATTTAGTATTTTCTGTTTATACGCTTCATATCCAACTTATATTCATCTGTGTATGAGTTAGTATGGTAATATATTTATTTACTATTCCAGACAAACAGATTTTTCTCAGAATTATGAATTTAAGAAGTGATAGAAGGACATCCCTTTTACTGTCTATTTATTATATTTGCAATACTTAACAAGTTTTGGTAATTTATCTATGTGTATTTTGTTTTGGGGGAGGGAGGAACTGGTTTTGCATTATCTTTCTTCTTTTTTTTTTCCCCTTCTAAACACAGCAGTGTAGAAAGAAAGGCTAACAGGATGCTCCCTGAATTTGTATCCTCATGGAATAATGCTGCTGATTTAGGTGGAAAAACAGAAACATCATTCCTTTTGAAAGAATTGGACTATCTGAGAGCAAAAAATAAAAAGGTACGATTGAGATATTCAGATCACAATATTTGCTCTTTTATGGTTGTTTTACAAATCATACATTTTAAACTGTTCCTAATTTAGTTTAGTTATTTATTTTAGTGCACCAATCAATAGTTTTACTGTCATTTTGGATTCTTAGTATCTGTTTAACAGATTTCATGAATAGAGTCTGGAGCTTGTGGTCCAGATGATGGATGTGCCCTAATAACCTCGTTTTTGTTGAGGAGAAGAAAATTCCATTCTACTTGCACACTACGTTATTTTTTAGTGTTAGTAGTGATTGCATGTGCCTAAATAACAGAAAAGTCTATAGTCTTTCCATGAAGTGTCATGGAATATTCAATGGCAAGCTCAGATATCTCTCCAAGAACAGATTTAGCAAATCTGCAGTTAAAAGAAGAGCCTCAACATGTGAAATAGCTGTTTTCTATCTAGTGAGGCATGTGAAAAATTATGGCTTTACACCACAGTCTCTTCAGGTTGTGATGTCAGTACTCAGTATATTGGTTGGAAATAGGCTATTTATGCAGGTACCATCTGCATTATATTGCATTTAATTCTGAACTTCCTTAGCAAGCTGGTGATACCTGGAGCACCCCAAGTAAAAATACTGGTACGTACATTGCTGCTTGTCTTGTGCAGCAAGGTAGGGCAGATGATAAAAAAGATACTTTTAACATTTGTCCTTAAATAATTAGTTGAACTTCTGTTGTATTGCTTAGTGTTTGTATTTTGGGGGTGAGAATATATTATTTAAAACTTTGGTTTGGTTAAAAGAGCTAGTTGACTGTTTCAGCCAGGTAGAATCTTACTGTCCATTTGTTCAATTCAGCTTGAAGATAAGCTTTCTGAAAAGAACAAGGAGCTGAAGACAATAAAACTGGACTTAGAACTGCAAGAGAGAGCTACAGAAGCTAAGGTTGCAGAAAAGATTGCAGGTACAGTAGGCAAGCATTTAACAGATGGCTGTATGGGTCATACAGTACCCATAGTTGTTATATGACGTGGCCTGGTGAATGTTAGCTTTATTTGCTAAAGGAGGGAAGATTTGATTATTTTTTTTTATGTATGGCTGTTTAGAGTTGCTTGGAAAATAGGTGGCTTTAACATCCTGGTACTGGTATTAGCAGGAGCTTTACCTGTATTCATACTGATTTGGGCATTAAATGCATTGTTAACACCATGTCAATCCAATCACAAAAAGGTTGTTTGTTTTGTTGGAAGGTCCTGAACAAACAAGGGGAAATAATGATTACCAGTGCCTCTACCTTTCAACCAGCAGTTCAAATACCACTTATTGTTTTAGCTCCTTCACAGCAATACTACCCCCTCCCCATGCATGGAGATAGTCACACATTCACCACAACTAGAGACCTGCGCTTTTCATGAAAAATCTCTTCTTTTGGTAGTGATAATGAATTTTTGTCTGGTGATGGTATGTGTCCAGCGAGTGAAGTTTATATAAATTATCAAAATTAATGGGGTTTTAAGTTTATACTCAGAAGTGAATTTATGCTTATATTTGTTGTTATTTGTTCTTTGGGTAGACATACAAGAACTGAGACAATTTGTATTCTGCAGTTTTGGAAATTTCTGAAGTAATGAAGTATTTTTATTATTGAAAAGTGACTGTGTGTACAGCATACCCAGTGGAAGAAAATCTCACTGAGGTTTTTCACAAAGCGTTTCAAATAAATTATTGGGAGTGCTTTTAGAAATACATCGTATCGTAATGTTCATAAGGTGTAAGCTAGGTAAAACTGTGTCGTTATAGACCATGCACACTTCACGTAATATTAATAGTCCTAATACCTGTCCCCAAAATACTGGTACTGAATGGAGGGTAACTATCTTCAGGAATATGAAGCAGAAAATAAACTCTTCAGCTGAAAAAAACAGATGGCTGAATTTCCACTTAATGCCAAACCCCTGAGAATACAGTATTCTGTGTATATTATAGATGGAAGAGAGTTCCTAGATTTTCTGTGATGGAGAAATGGTAAGTCTATGCATATTATGAAACAAATGGAAATACAGGCGTAATCTTATTCTTATTCCATTTTACATAAACTGCTTGCTTTATTTTCAGAAGGAAAAAAATCTGCACTGGTTATCAGTTATATCCAGCAGCTGAAAGCTAATTCAATTTTTTTGTGTTGAATCCCAAGTTCTGTTTTTATTCCTGGATATTTAAACAGTGTTTTACCTCTGTACTTTATCAAAGAGAATATTTTTCCATTATTAGGTGTTTGTTGCCCATGGAAAGAAATGTGTTTCAAAAGGTGTGGCAAAAACATATTTAGTTTAATTTTTATGGATACAGTTGAAATATTTGTTAATAAATTGGTTTTCCCTGCACTAGAGTATAAACTCTCTAATTATGTCCTAAGCAGAATATTCTCTTAAAATAGTATGGCATGAATATGGATATAATAATTAACATAGTTAAACCATTTTGAAAGGAAGAATAAACCAGATTTTAATGAGAGCTACAATGTGCAATAATGATAAACTTTGAGAAAAAACTTTTTTTTCCTCCTTTTACGAGTTCACAAAGTATGAAATCATTTAAATGCTGAGAGAGAGGGCAAGAGGCTCCTTACTACTTAAGCTGTTTGCTAAAAGGAAGCATTGTTATTATTTCATTGGGGTTTTGCTTCCTGTCTTACAGTTCTAACCATTGCTAAGTTTAGATAAATGTTTTTAAATCAATGATGATGTGAACCAAACTGAATTTGTGGAGGTTTGTGTGTGTATCTCTCTCATAAAAGCCCTAGGATGAGTTCCAGTGGACAAGTAGAACCTAATAAAGAAGACTCAGTGGGTTTAAGGAACAACATTTTCCCCTTGTGTTACGTCCTTTGAGGAAAGGAGAACACATGCTGCTCTGATTTCATGTTGCTAGTTAATGTTTAATTACTGCAGCGTATAACACATGGTAGAATGAAACTTGTAAATATGGGTGTTTGCATTTTTATTATTACTTAGTACTGACTTTATGATAAGAAAATGACTCCACAAATTATATTGTAAAAAAAAAAAGAGTCTGAAAGGAGCACCATAAAAATGTTATCTACTTTGAGGAATATTACAATTCTATTTTAAAATGTAACCCTCTAATTGATGGTTTTTACTTAAACAAGTATTAATTAAAGAACAGAAAAGCTGAAGACAAAAGCCATTTTAAAATGAAGCTACAACAGTCTTCAGAAACAAATAACCCAGAGTTTGTCACTTTACAATTTTTACTTTGCTCAAAGGAAGAAGTCAAGAGAAAAAGTGTAAGTTTGTGAAATGCTTCATGAAAGAATAAGAAAAAGTTATACATGATGAAAGAGAAAGTTTAATATTGTGTGTAGTAAATAGCCTATTTTCAAAAGGGGATTATTTTTAAATTTTACTAGCCTGGAATATCAATTTCCCGAAAATCAGCTTCCTTGGATCCCTGTCTGTGTCAGGTAGCTTATGGCTAAGGAAAATTAGAAAATTCATGGTATTGGTTGCAGGCCTTTAAGCATTAGAGACTATTGCTTCTGGTGGTCATAGCTGCCACAGGTTCCTGCTGTTTCTTTATTATTCTTCTGTTGGATTTTCTCTCATTATAAGCCAATATCAGAAGGTACCATTAGTTTTCCTCCCCATCATGAAGAAAAGAAATACGGAGGTGGAGGCAACATCAGGAATATCAAGGGAAGAGAAAACCATAAAAGAACTGAGACTAGGATAATGTAAGGAAATAAGAGAACACCACATGAGAACTGGATGTGAAGAATAGACAAATCTTGAAATGTGGAGCTGCAGACCTTTCTTATGTTGAACAGAGAAGGGAATGGATGCACTTTTGGGGGGGGGGAACTAACAGAGAGAACAGATCTCATTTTGGATGGGCATAATAAGTGAGTTCGTTTTTTCCTAGCAGAAAAATTATACAGGGGTCTTTATAGGAACTTCCAAAGGAAAGAGCTGGATGAATGCAAGTGAGAATTGCAGAGTAGAGTGGTAGTCTTCCTAGACTGGAAAAAAAGAATGTCTTCTCACAGTAACTTGCACCGTTACTGCAACAAGACAGACCATAGTTGGCATTAGAGCCTCGAGTCTTGGAACATTTTTATTGCTATCATAGTAATATATATATATATTTCTGAAGGAAAATATAATAAACAATGTTTCTCCTTAAATCTTTCTGTAGCAAGGGCTATTTTAATTTGGGGGTTTGGTTGTTTGTGGTTTTTTGTTTTGTTTGGGGTAGGTTTTTTGGGGGGGGGATGTTTGGTTGGGGGTGGGTTTTTTCAATATGTAATAGTAATGTTACCAAAATTTAGTACATTTTAAATCTGAGTCAGCTCGACAGGAAGAAGTGAATTGAGTCCAGGCCTGCTAGTTCTGTTAGGTGTTGCACACCACCTTTAATGCCTGAAAGCTGTATTAGTGTTCCGCAGATGCTCTCTAAAAGATCAGAGTACTGATAGGAAATATAGTGTGGAAAAAGGGGAAAGGAGACTTCTAATACTGTGTAAGTCATACAGCCTTCAGTCTCTTCGAAACTACAGCAATATACCTACAATTAAGTCCTTTTTTTAGGTCTGTTTTTACAAAAATGCTGAGAATTTAGATATGTGGTAATTGGGAACTCTTAAATATGGCACAGAAATGTTCATTAATTTTATTTGAAGTTTCCTACATTAACCTGAAAAAATAATTACTGAATGCATATGCAATAGTTTTAATAGCACAAGTGAAAACAGATATCCAAGTGGCTATTAGCTTAGAGTTAGTTTGATATAATATCCCATAAAGTAAGAGGAAATAAGTAATCTTGCCAGTAATAAACTTTGTGTGGCAATAACTTCCAGCACAGGGGAAAAAGTATTTTCCATTTCTTCAAAGCTCACTTTAGAGTCCCTTTTTAGATGTTATTTTTCTTTCTTGCATGTCATCCATTAAAGATTAGCTGTGGAAGGTTGGAGCATGGAGAGATTATGAATGACAGAACAACTCCTGCAGAATAATAATCAGTTTTTGGTATTTAATGCTGTTTGACTTTTGCAGACACATTTCTTATTAACCTTTGGTACAAACAGAAATCCAGGTTCCTGATATCTCATGGAGAAGATGAATTCAAGATCCTCTTCCAATTAAACTGAAATAAGGGCAATATTGGGCTTTAGCCAGAAGAACTCAGTAGTTCCCAACCCTTGTGTTTATAAACCAAAATATGCATGATATTTTACAGTTTAAGCATATACTTCCTAACTCAGTTTTCTGTGCATAATTCATGTATATAGTCTATATAGTTCTTAGGGAGGGTGTCCTATTAATGCTTTATTGCACAAAACTGTTTCCTGATTATTTTTCCAAAATATTTCCTGGTAAATAATAGAATTTTGAAAATAGCATTGGGATTTGATTCCTCTGTACTGGAAGGTACACAATCCCCCTAAAGGACAAAAAACACCCCAAGATGGGGGTGTTGTGACTGGGAACATGCTGGCTTAATTTTTAACAGTTTAACTTGAACCAGTGCAATTTTGCCTTCAGATTGTCAGAATTATTGATTGCCAAAAAGTTGTGTGAAACGCTCTGAAGTATACCATGAGCTTCTATTGGTTAAAATGTAAATTACTAAGCTATTTATGGGTGGAGCTTGTATGTAAAAAGAAAGCCAGTATCTTCTGCATATTTTTATGATTAGTCTGGCCCTTCTGTCTTCCCCACTACAGTGCTAGAGGAACATAAAGAATTGGGGTTTATTCAGGAGTAAAAAAGCCTGCAAATAACCTATTTCTTAACCTGTCAAACTGTAACTTGCAAACTATAATACAACATTTATATTTTTCCTCCTAAAGTAAATATTCAGGCATCAGTAATTATTCACTAAAAAAATTCTAACAGCATTATGTTTTGAATTTTGAAGTCAGCTGTGTTTAGTGTGTTAGAA